CATAACTGGGAAACAACACTATCTCGTTCTCAGGAAAAACAGTTCCTTCTCCGACAATGCGATCGACGGCATAGCAACACACGTCTCCTAAATAATCAATGTGCTCGGCTTCTATGATTTCGCGTGTTACCGCTGACTTGCATTTCCCAATTTTTACGCATTCATCCAACAGTGGGGTACAACCGCATGTCCTGCAATGCAAGTCAAGAAAGCCACCGTTCTTTTTTTGCACGTTATTATTGTGCTCGCGAAGCCGATCATTTAGGCAGCGCCCCGTCTGCCCGACGTAGTGGCTGCCACAGGACAACGGAATGCGGTAAACCACGCCATCTGTACAGTCGACAAATTTCGTTCTGTGCTTCTTTTCACATCCGTGTTTGGCACGCACGCCAGGCTTTGATAGTTTGCACAGTTCCATGAGCTTATTGGGCGCAGAAAACACTACCTTTACATTTGATCGCATTGCTATTTTCTTTAGATTGTGCGACACTCGGTGTACATACGGAATCACAACAACTTTTCCTTTTTGTCTTACCGGCTGGCTCTCATTGTTTTCTACGAGACAGCGCTTTCTTAGAAGGCCTTCCGCGAAAGGTAGTGTTTTCTTAGAAGGCCTTCCGTGTAAAGGTAGTGTTTTCTGCGCCCAATAAGCTCATGGAACTGTGCAAACTATCAAAGCCTGGCGTGCGTGCCAAACACGGATGTGAAAAGAAGCACAGAACGAAATTTGTCGACTGTACAGATGGCGTGGTTTACCGCATTCCGTTGTCCTGTGGCAGCCACTACGTCGGGCAGACGGGGCGCTGCCTAAATGATCGGCTTCGCGAGCACAATAACAACGTGCAAAAAAAGAACGGTGGCTTTCTTGACTTGCATTGCAGGACATGCGGTTGTACCCCACTGTTGGATGAATGCGTAAAAATTGGGAAATGCAAGTCAGCGGTAACACGCGAAATCATAGAAGCCGAGCACATTGATTATTTAGGAGACATGTGTGTTGCTATGCCGTCGATCGCATTGTCGGAGAAGGAACTGTTTTTCCTGAGAACGAGATAGTGTTGTTTCCCAGTTATGCTCTGTCATAATGTTTTTTTTTTCCTTTACTTTTGTCTTTCTTTTTTGTCATTGTAACGATGGTTGAGACTATATATATACCGGAACACGTTTTCAATAAAATTCAGTTGAAAGTTGCGCCTTGTTGTGTCCTCTTCTCTGCTTTTGTCCTCGTCTTTGTTGCGCACAAGATTGTATAAGATGTCAAACCAACTCGCCCAAACAACTACTCTTCTTGGGTATTGGAGGCAGTTTTGCCTTAGGCGGTATCGGCATTTTATTGCTCAAGTAGGGTAAACAAACCAGCGCTACGAGACGAGCATGTTTCGATCACCGCTGCCTTGCTTTGTTCTGTGGTTAAAACGACGACGACAGCTAACGCCGAGACGGAGTCGGCCACTGATTCTGTAGGAAGCTTGAAAATTACACACACACAAAAACGTATTCCTTTGGACTATAGAACAGTGGTTCTCAACCTTGTGATGTTTCGCGGACCCCGTGTGGATCGGCGGAGATGATGGAGGACCCCGGTCGTGGTGGGGGCAAGGGAGAGGTTTAGTTGAATTATGATAATGATATAATAAATAGATACATCTAAGGGTTGTGTAAAGTAGGCTTATCTTATTGATACACAAAAGAAAAAAAACTGATCCGAAAATTGGAGCGTTTCTTCTTAATCTGAGAAAATACTTTTTATTGCGGGCTTGACTTATGAAACAGGGAGGGCTTTGCGGACCCCCGAAACATCTTCGCGAACCCCTTGGGGTCCTCGGAACACCATTTGAGAACCAGTGCAGTATGAGATGGCGCTTTGGGTCAAACAAGCAGTTATCTTCATTGCTGATTTGGTCGTGTCGTTTCGAATCGTTCGTCCTCGTTCTACGACTCACTAAAAACCGTCGTCTGGTGCTTACGACTTGTCGAAACCGTTTAACCGAACCGCTCGTGATTTCGCAACCGTTCGCGCCAGAAACGACTTGCCTAAACTCCCTATTAAAGTCCCCAGGCTAGTGGTCGTACCGCACTGGCTAAATTGTTTATATACAGCAAGAGACTCGTCCCTTCTTTGAAATGGCTGTCAAACTCCATGCTGTCTAGACATCCACACAACCCATTTTTTTTTTCTTCAATCTGTAGGAAGAAGTATATCACAAATTATATTCACGAAATAGAATTACTATACTCAAGTACTGTATTTTGGCTGCTTTTTCAAGAAGATTTGTAAATTTAAGCAAAAATAAAAATAAAATTCGTCTTTATTATATAGACAGCCTGCATGATCTTAGTCTTCAAGGTGTGGTGATATTGTTAAACGCTGTCGATGGACAATTTAGCGAGTGCATTACGACGGCTGACCTAAGGTGTGTAACATGCGTCACGTAGTAGTGATACACGCACTAGCACACTCAGCCACCGTTCCCTTCCCAAATTTAAGTTAGGTAGTGGGTAAGTAGAACATCTAAAAGCGAAACGAAAAAAAAAAATGCTTAAAAAATAAGAGAAAGAAAAAACTGAATTGGAATAAAATGTCTGCCTCCGTACTCCGGGCAGGCATAGGTGATTTCACTTGGGGAAAGGAGAGAGAAATACGACATACGGCACCGGCATTTCTAGCTAGACAAGCTAACCTTGTTTGTCTTATTTTTTTTTTTTTTTGCTTTCTCATGGTTAGTGTTGGTTTTATGGCTTTTAGCATTTTTCCACATCCATCTGGGCACTGGACCATGGAGTAGTTTGTCTTGAAAGGCTTGTATACCGTATACGGCGGCATCGTCCGCCCACTGAGAAAAGATCACGAGGACAAGCGGCGTTTTCATACCCTCCGTTAATTCCCGCTTTCATTCTCAACGACAGCGTGCCCACGGTGTTAAGAAAACGTGCTTTTGTTAATTGCGTTACACATGTTTTTTTTTCTCTCTCTTTTTTTTTTTCTTTCTTTGTTGTCGCTCTCCGGGAGGGTATTGTGCGGCCCCCAGAGTAGGAGCAATTTCGTAGCCTGCTCATTTTCCAAAGCTGCAGAGAGTGTGTTGTTAGACAAGGTGACAATCCGTAAGCTTCTCCCTTGCCTGGTGTTTACTGTTTATTTTTATTTTTTGACACAACCAAGCAAACCAGTATCACGCGAGTGGAAAGCTCACAGGTTTCCACGAACAGAAGATCCTCACGAGAAAAAGTGCGCGATACGACGTTCTGAGGGCTATTTTCGTGGGGAAAACAGTGCGCTCCAAGGTTTCAGCGGTGGTAGATATAATGTTGACTTTGGAGTCGAGAGGACTGCCCTTTCACCCCACTACAAAGTAGCCGACTATGACAGACATCCAGGTCAACCGCTCTATCTCTCAGTCATCAATACCAACCAATTCGGAAACAGGTGCACCGTTCTTTGTACTTCATCTTGATATAGTACTTGTAAGTAACTAAAAATTCGAGTTACTTGACCTCTAGAGGAACTTGTCCGATAACGTGAACTTAATTATTACTGAAAATATTCGCAATACCTCATTGTTTTGTCATTACAAACTATTGTTAATTTCAGTGTTGCGGAATTCCTTCTTGCTATATCAGTAATATTCCAACCTAACGCAAAAATAAACACAAATGAGATTAACTAAGATTAACAACCCCTAAAAATAACAAGCAGAACCACACGAGCACTTGCTTAGTGCGGTGGTCGCCCAAACACGCTTCCTCTCAAGCCCTTCACAAAACAGAAAAAAAAGATCAAAACGCAGAATCAAAGAAAGTATAAAAAAAAAAAAAAGAAGCAAAACGAGCGGCGTCTCCGCTGTCTTCCCTAAGCGTTCTGCGCAGTCGCCGTAGAAAAGCAAGCCGGAGAACCCTCCTCTCCCTTCCACCCCACCGGACGCTAATTTGCCTGGAGGGAGAGGGGGGCGACACTTCTTCCCGCGCGGGGGAAGACAGGCCAGCCCAGCAAGTTCAGAGAGATGTCACGTGATCCCGTGAGTGAACTGACTCCGGTGATATGAATGATATTTTTTGAGTTTGACTCCTGTGATATCACTGATAGTTTCTGATATTTTTTTTTGAGTTTGACTCGGATGATATATTTTGAGTTTGACTCCGGTGATATGTTTTGAGTTTGACTCCTGTGATATCAGTGATAGTTTGTGATATTCTTTTGGGTTTGACTCGGATGATATATTTTGAGTTTGACTCCGGTGATATGTTTTGAGTTTGACTCCGATAATATGTTTTGAGTTTGACTCATGTGATATATTTTGAATTTGACTCGGGTGATATATTTTGAGTTTGACTCGAGTGATATATTTTGAGTTTCACTCGGTTGATATATTTTGAGTTTGACTCCAATGATATATACTCGTTTTGAGTTTGACTCGGGTGATATATTTTTATTTTGAGACCTACTAGAGTTGATATCTTTTGAGTTTGACTCTGATGATATTTTTTGAGATTGACTCCGGTGATATCAGTTATATTAATAATCTCTCCGAGATGAGTCTCGGTGAATTTGAGGCCTTGGTAAAATTCTTGATCTGACTCATGTTGATTTTTGGATGGTGGAAAAAATCGTGATATGAGAGTGAATGAATTCGGGGGAGAGTTTGTGAAAGTGAGATGATATTGAATGACTCCAACTCAAAACGCCGACCTATGGACCAAACTGGCCCAACAATACACTTTTAATTAATTTCCGATACGACAACATATGCTGGGATTTCATGTGGCAGCTCGTGCTATTAGAGGACGAGTGTATTCCCTTTGTGCAATCGCAATAGTCACCATTGGTGCGGATGCAAATTTGTGGTAATGAATTGTCGTCTCTTTTCAGATTTTTTAGTCTTTCAACGAGAGCTTGAATTATATCCTTTCTGCTCTAGGCCCACACCGTATTTTGTAACAGTGGTAGGCATTGTTATTGATCTTTCTTCTGTACAAAAGGTAGAAAACTAAGCGAGCGCACTTACCTTTCAACAAATTGAACTTTAACTTGTCACGCCTCGCGACGATCCCGTGTTTCGCTTCAAAGTGGCGCAGCAAGTCCCCAATGGAATGCAAAAGCCGTTGGACACAGATCGCATGCAAGGCGGCAGCGGACAGTGTGATCCAGCTGGTGTCAGCGTCCCCGTGAACCTCCTTTAGGTGCCTCTTTAAGTTGTAGATTTTCTTGAAGCACATCTCACAAATCATGCACTTGTACTTATGCCGTGTACTAGTCGCCGTGGTAAAGATGTCGCTGGTCTGCCGCTGGCGTGGCCTAAGAAGAGGGGAGGAGCCTGGGAGAGGGGAGGGGAGGGGGAGGGGCTATTGCGGAGCGCCAATGGCGAGGTGCGCGGAGGGGCGCGCGCCGGGAAGCAGGCACGGGCGCTGCGGGCTCCTATTTCAGTTGCTTTGTCGGAGTACAGATGGCGCTACGAGCGCGCTGTCGCGTGGAGTGAGGGGGACAGGGCAGACGGGCGCACCAAGGACACGGACACCTCTTTGAGTTGCTTTGTCAGAGTACAGACGGCGCTACGAGCGGCGCAGTGCGCTCGTGACGGTTGTGCGCCTTTGCGCTAGGCGGTGAAACGGGCGCACGGTCGCACTAGCGACGCCGACGTGCTGTCGTGACGGCTCTTGCGGCGCGCTGCCGTGTTTCGCTTGCTTTTGACGGCTCTGCGCTCGGTCGCGCGTCATCGCTCTCTGGGCGCGCTTATGGCGCTGGTCACTTGATGAACTCGCGCTCACTTTTCTGCGCGCTTTTAAACTGCAGATGACGGGGCTCTGTAGCGCTTTTGAGTGTACACATTTGAAAAGTGATGGCAGTGAGGTCTTGTGAAAGTAATTTGGAATACGTAAATCAATCCCTGATTGATAGACAGTTTGACGTCTATTTTTAGGTTATTGGTTGTCGTATCAATACCGCTTTTCTTCTAGCAGTCTTCTAGCTGAAAGGCTCAATATAAAAAAAAGAAAACGCATTATAGCGCTGGTACCTGATCCCCCCCCCCCCCCTCTCACTAACGCAGATGAAAGCGGGGAACAGAAATAACTCTCGTACAGTAATAAAGTTATCATTTTTGCATGAAAAAGCAACGGTAGAAAATTGCAAAGGGAAATAAATTTCCTTATCACATATTTATGTTTTCTTTTCACATTTTTTTCGTTAGTTTCAGTACGGATATTGTGATCCGAAATCGGAGAAAGCAAGCCCAAAGACACAACTACGCAAAGCAGCAGAGACTGTGTTAAAGAATTATACATATATCATTTTGGGACTCCACAATTAGCTCACATTTCTCACCTACCTTCAAAACAACTTCTCACAAGGTGTATCAAGTGATGAAAAAAAAATACAGTAGAGATATTTCGACTTGTGTACGCGATCAACCTATCGCGCGAGCACGGACATAGCAACCGGAGCAGCTATCATCCAAGCATTTCAGACTGCTGCCGGGCGAAAACAATAAAAATGAAGGAACAGCTGCACTGCGCGATAAACCGGCCCTCACGTTAGGGTGCCCGTTTGGAATTTTGCTTTTTGTGGTGGTGCTCAGATACGGGTTCCCCACCAATGCAAGCCTCGTCATCGTCCGTTCATTAGAGCTCAGTTATAAAATTTATTGAGGTTTTTCGTGTTTTGTTTTTTGCTTCCAAAGCACCTGTCAACGTGCTCCTGGCACTACTTGACCGCGCGCAGAGGAGAAGATGTCGCGGTGTTACAAAGTCCCTACATAAGAGCAATTCTTACAAGCTGCGACATTCTTTGAAGCGCCGACTGCTTGACGGTGCAGTTTTAAGGAAGCGAATGGCGGCGCACAGCAGAAGACTGAACGGAATGACGCCATTTTGTTTCAGCGGAATGGGCCCCGTCATTTGGATTGGTTCTCGTTACTTGTAAAATTAATAATGAAGGGACTTTACAGTGTTAAGAAGCGGGGCGTCCCCTACATCGTGATGTCACCGTCCTCCAAGCGCCGGCCGCTCCCAATGCACGGCGGAGGCTACGCGGTCACTGTCGTGCTGTCGTGTGACCGCCAGTGACCGCCTGTGGCCGTGTGGACGTACACTTTCGTTCGCGGCTCCCGGAAGGCTCCCACTTGCTTTGCAGTCACTTGCTTTCTCTTTCTTTATGACAGCATTTCAGAAATTTCATAACATAAGTATCGTGATAGTTTAATACCAAAATTTAAAAAAAAAAAAGAAATAAGACATCCTCGTTGCCCTTTTTAGTGCGACACCTTTAAGCTCAATTATCATACTCAATCTCGAGCCCTTGTTTGTTTCATTCTCCCAAGCTTGCCGATCGATACCAGAAGGTCCGGAAACTGTGCCAGTCTGACAAAGCCACGAAAGAAGCCAAGCGAATTCGATCAATCTTAAAGGGGTTATGACACGCCAAAAATAAAATATTACATAACTATTCAGCTAGGACCCATTCTATGTTCCTATAATCCTGCTAAATTTGTTTTAAAAAAGGCGCGATAATTTCGTGGATAAATCGATTTATATGCGGGCCCCTCGGAGGGGCAGATCCAGGCGGACCTGGAGGCTGATGACGTAGCCAGCCTCCAGCGTGGTGTCTACTTGCACGCACTCACAGACTCGGCTCTTCTTGGCATATCAACTCTCAGCTTCCTCGTTTACCTTCCACGTTTCCAGCATCCGGTCTGTGACGATTATGTCTACGGCATCGATCGCCTTGTCGAAGTGTTCGACATTCATCGCAGCAGCGATGAGAGTGATTGCTATCCAGAGATGTTGGAAGCTGTTCATTTTGACTGCGACCCGCTGGCGACGAGCTCCAGCGACGACGAGTTCGCCGTGGTCACCGTCGTCCGGGAATCTCGCAGGCGCATGCAGGTTGGAAGGTCAACCGGCCAGGGGGCGAGAGCGAGAATAGCTTTCAGTTAACCGAGCTGTTTGAGTGGTTTTGTTCGTACCGCGACGAAAAGAGCTTGGGCGATCATGGGGCGCCTAGAATGAGAGAGTGTTCATGGTCACGTGGTTTATGGACACCATGGTGTGACTAACTTGAGCAGTGTTGCCTGGTCGCCAGATGAAAATTATAAAAATTTGTAAATTGAATATTGCAATTATCAGAGCTCGAAAAATTGCGTAACTTGGTGTATATACTAAGTAGCCTATGAGCATTCCATTTCAAGAATAATCTATCCGTTTAATTTTCGTGTCATAACCCCTTTAAAGGAATGCTGAACCGAAATTTTGGGTGGAAATTCTTGGTCGCAATGGCATACATAGCATGTCCTTTACTTCTAAATGACGTTGTTTTGAGCGAGAAGGCGCATAAAATTGAATAAACACGAAAAATACAGTTTTACGCGACCCCTGGTGAGCGTCGTGGAAAGCTCGCTTCGTGACGTGCGCATTCTCATTCGCCTCAACAGACAGACGGAGCCAAGCCAAGCCAGGCGCTAAGCCGGGTGCCGTTTGTTATTGTTAGTACCACGCGGGCTCTTACCGCGTGATACTAGTACCAGCCGCTTTGAGAACAGACGCCGAGCGAAGAATCAAGGCCAACGAACGAGGAGAATGCGCGAAGGCACCAGGGGCGCTGGGGGCGCCGAGAATGCGCACGTCAGTTCCGCTACGCCTGCTCTCAGGAGGACTCGCTCGCGCCGGCGGTTTCCGGCCGAGGATTCGCTCTTAATTCAAAGAAATACAATAATTCGGGCCCCATCCGTCGGATTGAATATCGTTTTTAGGTACAGTACCATCCCGTGAAGCCCGCTCGGGCAATAATTATGAGATTTCAAATATCGGTTCAGCATCCCTTTAATGTACGAGTTTCCCATCAACTCATAAGCCGTCATACATACGCAGAATGAGAGTCGTGGAAAAATGGACAGCCATCTAACGACAGCTTTTTGGGAGTGCCAGATAATGTGTGTGTGTGTAAGGGGGGGGGGGGGATCATAACGCGTTGACACGTGCTGAAACGCGCAGTTGTTCGGCGGCGCAAGTGCACATGCTTCGGACAGGTGGCGAATTCTGAGTTAGGTTCCGTTAGAATGGAATTCTACATTGATTTTGGGAACTTCTAGCAATCCGTTACCGTGTTCCGCGTACTGCGCTACCGTCCGCTCAAGGTATCATCGGGGCGCGCCCTTAAAAGCTTGCTTCAGAGGCTCCGGTAGTGCGGTACGCGAAACACGGTAGCGGATCGCTAAAAGTCCCTATTACTACTATCTACGACTACAAACTGTTCAGAACGCTATTGAGCCAAAATATTGCGCTACTTTTACTCTGAAATTGTTTCTCCCCACGTCACCTCCAGTTGACTTCTTCAGACATGGCTCGCATACGTCAATCGTACAAACCCACCGTAGGGACGTACCGTTCAGAAGTCTGGCACTCTGGGACTGATATGTTTTCTTGATTTTTAGACTACCCAGCTATGCGGAGAGTCAAATAAAAACACAAAAAGCTGTATGAAAGTAAGACAAAGCATAGAAGAGTAAAATAAGGAATAAGGAGAAACATAGTAGATTTTTTTATTCTGCGATGAACATGAACAGAGTTTTAAGTCGCACTGAATAAACTGATGCACTTTACACACATAAGTCGGATCTATTTCAAGATACGCGTATTCATTTCAAATACAATTCATAATGCGACCGTTGGATATAAAGAGAAAAACAATTATATGTTGCTCTTTCAAGACGAAATCAAAACTAGCCCATAAGGGGGGCGGTAAAACAAATTCTGTATTTTGCGCGAATACGGCCTATACCCACGTCAGACGGGAAGGTAAATGCCATTTTGATCGAATGTCATTCATCGCTGGGCGAATCAGCTCGTGATGCTATAATAATTGGGTTGTGTGTGTGTTTATACAGCCTAGAACTTGGCCTGCCTCACAGGGGCGACGAGTCTCCCAGCTGTAGATGAGAAATTTAGCCAGTGCGGTACAGCCGCTAGCCTGGGGTCTTTAACGTGCATCACGCAGTAGTGACACACGACCGCACGCCGGTACGATGCTCATCCGGATCGAAACGGGCAGGGGTGGGGCTCGAACCCAGGATCCCTGGGTTCTGCAGCGCGAGCTTTCGCTCCACGTGCTCCGAGCTGGTGTGCGCTAGACCACTCGGCCACCGATCCCCCCTCGTGATGCTATAGTTCTGCATGTGGCGGGTGCACGCGCAGCGTGGCTTATTAAACACGCGGATTGGCCGAGCTGTAATGTCATTTTACTCAAATGTCATTTAACGTGC